AAAACACCCACAGTGAACATCATAACCAGGGGTGAAAGACTGAACGCTTTCCTTCCAGATCAGGAATTCAGCACTGCTAGTCAACATTGTGCTGGAGTTCTAGTCAAAGCAATTAGGCAGGAAAAAGAGATAAAAGGTATCCAACTGAAAAAGAAGAAGTAAAACTACTTCCATTTGCAGATAACATAATCTTATACATACAAAATCCCAAGAATCTACAAAAAACCTACTAGAGCTAATAAATGAATTCAGCAAAGTTGTAGAGACCAACACACAAAAGCATTTCTGTGCTGGTAATGAACAATCCAAAAAGGAAGAAAACAATACCACTTACGATAGCATCCAAATAATACCTAGGAATAAATTTAAATAAGAAGATGAAAGACTTGTACTCTGAAAACTATAAAAAGTTCTGAAAGAAATTAAAGACCTAAACAAATGGAAAAACATCTTGTGTGCAAGGATTAGAAGACTTAATATAGTTATGATGACAATACCCATACTACCCAAAGTGATTTATAGATTCAGTGCAATCCCTATCAAAATCCTCATGGCCTTTTTTTTTTTTTTTAAGGCATAGAAAAAACTGATTCTAAAATTTATATCAAATTGCAAGCCTCCTCACCCCAGTAGCCAAAACAATCTTGAAAGACAGGCAGAAGGTCAAGGCAGACTAGATGTCTACATATGGTCTACATAACCATTGGCATAGAATGGAGAGTCTAGAAATAAACCCTCATACCTGTGGTCAAATAATTTTTGACAAGGGTGCCAAGACCATTCAATGAGGAAAGGACAGTCTTTTTAACAAATGTTGCTGGGACAACTGAATATAAACACTAAAGGATGAAGTTGGGCCCTTATATCAAATCATATTAAAAAATTAACTGGAAATAGATCAATGACCTAAATGTAGGAACAAAAACTACAGAACTCTTAGAAGAAGAAAACATAGGTAAATTTTCATGACTTTGAATCTGGCAATGGATTATTTGATATGACACCAAAAGCACGAGCAAATGGAAAAAAACTGGACTTCCGCCAAAATTAATAACTTTTGCTTCAAAGGACATCAAAAAAGTGAAGACAACCTGCAGAATAGGAGAAAATATTTGCAAACTGTATATCTTATAACTGTCTTGTATCCAGAATAAAGAACTCTTACATATAACTAAACAAAAGAAAAAAAATCCGTTTTAAAAAGGGGCAAAGATTCTATTGCTGCATAACATACACACACATATATACACACACATACGGGGGAAGGGGGACAAAGGAGTTGAACAGGCATTTCTCCAAAGAAGATACACAAATGGCCAATAAGCACAGGAAAAGATATTCATCACTAGTTATCAGGGAAATGCAAATCAAAACTGTCTGGAGGTATCGCTTCACACCCACTGGAATGGCCAGAATCAAAACTGAAGACGATGACAAGTATTGGCAAAATTGTGGAGAAATTAGAGCCCTCACCTACATTGCTGGTGGGAATGCTAAGTAGTATAGCTGCTTTGTAAAACGGTCAAAAAAGCTCTTCAAAAAGTTAAATAATCCTACCTCACAACCCAGCAGTTTCACCCCTAAGTATCTACCTCAAAGAACTGAGAATTGGTATTCTAACAAATACACACACATACATGTTCATTGCAGATCTATTCACAATAGCCAGAGGTGGAAAGAACCCAAATGTCCATTAACAAATACATGGATAAGTCACACACAAAAAATTCTGACACATGCTACAACATGGATGAACCTTGAAAACATGCTAACTGAAAGAAGCCAGACACAAAAGACTGCAAGATCTAGGATTCCATTTATATGAAACGTCCAGCACATGCAAATCTATAGAAGCAGAAGGAAGACTGGTAGCTCCAGGGGCTGGGGAGCAACTGTACAATGGGCATGGGGTTTTCTTCTGGGGTGATGAAATGTTTTGGAACAAGGTAGAGGTGATGGATGCGCATTGTGAAAGTACGAAATACCACTAAACTGTTATGCGAATTTCACCTAAAAAAAAGGTCTGAGTACACGAGGGGAGGGCAAGGGCATGAATGATCCTCTTCACACTATGGGTGGGGTCACCCCTAATTCAGGGCTGGGGGACCCAACTGGCTCTCTGCTTCTGGAGTTTCCAGGGAACTCCCTGGGCAGAGGTCAATTCTGACATGTGCTGAGGGCTATAGGTTATCTGAACATGAAAAGTAACCCAGCAGTGCTTGTGGCCATTCACTGAGGACACTCCTGTCTAGCAGAGGACACAGGCTCACCCAGGAAGCCTTTTTTCCCCCATGCTAAGGCTCTCAGACTGATCAATTCCAGCCATAACAGTAGCTGCTCGGGGGCGGGGCATGGGTGGTGACCCACCTGCAACTCAGCAGTCCCTCCTGACATTTCTCCAAAGAGACATGACAGCCCAGTGCCTAGGCACAGCCTAAACTCTGAGGAGGCCAAGCACTCTCCACTCATCTGCCCACTGTCCACCCAGACCACTGCAGGCTCAGTTCTGCCTGGCAGAGGCTCAAGGACACAGTTCTACGTCCTGAAGCAACATGCAAACCCTGCTCTTCTCATAGTGTGCGTCCCAAGGTGGTGGGGGCCACAGCGAGGCCACAGCAAGCCCACGGGGTAGTGAAGGGGGCAGGACACCCAGCCTGGGAAGAGCAGGGTGGAGGTGATGGTGGGGAATACCCAAGGTCAAAGAAGGTGGGAGAAGGGGCAGGTCCACTGCTAACACCAGCCTGTCTGGAGCAGCCTGTCCCAAAGTGTTACCCACACCCAGACATGGGAGATCCTCTGTGCAGGAGGACACTGCCCTCTTGGGATGGATGGAGACTGGCCGGGGGAAGGACACCTGTCTGTAGCTGCAAGGCTGGCAACACTCAGGGTGGGCTCCACCCCACCTGGAGCTCCTATCCCAGAAGGTCTCTGGCTGTGCACTGAGGGGCAGGTGGGCTGCTGCTAGGATGGGTCTGTGTCTCAGGGAGAGCTTTGCACCACATGCCAGGTGTGGCCAGAGGACATGGTACTCTGAAAGCTGCCAGGCCTGAGGCATGGCAGTGGGGTGGGCACATGGAGGGCAGGGTGGGAAGGGCTGAAGGACTGGCCAAGGAGGTGGGAGCCAGGAAACCTGCACTTGGCTCCCAGGACCCTACTGGTTGTACAGAGCAGTGCAAGGCACTTACCTTCCACCCTCCCAGGGTTCTCCCTTCACAGCCTACCCTGCAGGCTGCCTGGAGCCCCCTTTGCTGGGTGGGTTCTTGGGCACCTGGCCTGCCTGCCTCATTTAAGGCCGGGCCTCTGCTCCTCCCAGGTGTACAAGAAAGGTAGTCAGGCCCATAGCAGGGCAAGTGGGATGTTCCTGGATGGCTCCTCTAAATAAGATGGCTATGAGGGGGTGTTGCACACCACAACACACAGTCTCCTACACCGCTGCTCTACCAGCAGAAAAATCAATTGTTTTTTTTACAAAGCATGAAGCTTGTGCTTCTAATGTTATGTTCACACTGAACCCTTTTGGTTCAGGAAAAAAGAAAACTTGCCTCTTCAAAAATAAACCAAACAAAAAAATCTCCCCTGGGCAACATAACTGTTTCCCAGAGCTAAGAGCAAACTCTGTGAAGCTGCCTTCCTGGTCCGCCTGTGTGGTTGGGCTCTGGGGTGAGCAGGTGGGTGCCCAGCGCCAACAGAGTGGGCCTAGGCCAGCTTTAGCCTTAGCTCCTGTGTTATGTAAAGCCTAAGAAATCTGCCTGGATGTGACCAGGAACTGTACCCCTGCCCCTGCCCCCTTCCTCATTAGAGGAGAAGAGTCATGGTCAAGGTGTGAGGCATGGCATGTGAACGCCCTCCATGTGTGCCCACAAGTAGGGTCTTAGGCAGCCTTCACCCCAGCCCTGGGCTCAAGGGATGATCACTTGCCCTGTGCACCTCACCTGGCCTGGTCTGACCCTTCATAGACCACATGCTCCTGAGAGATCTCCGGAGAGAAAACTCAGGCTCCTGCCCAGCAGGAAAGGTGGGCCCAGGGCCCTCCTAGGACATAGCTGCCCTAGGCTTCAGATCCCTGGTGGTCCCAGGTACACTGAGCAAGGAGAGTCTTACAAATGCTGCAGTGGGGGTGAGCGGGGAGCCCAAGCCCTGTTCACTCAAGTAACCCGCCAGCTGGCCAGTCCCTGGGCCGGCTGCACATGAAGCACGGTGTCTGCTGGTCCTGGCCAGCATCCAGCAACAGGGCAGGTTTCACAGCCATCCTCATGAACAAGGCAAGTCAGGAAGTTTCTGTCTGGAATTCAGAAAGGCTTAAATAAAAGCAGTGCCAAAAAATCAAATTTAAGCCTAGGGAAACAGAGGTAGAGCCTGATGGAAGCAGCGCCCCTCTGGCTGGAAGGAGGCTCTAGGGATGGTGGTGGTGGCACAGCCGTGGGGCTGGCACAGCTCTCCCTCACCAACCCCCAAGGCCTGTATCTCAGCATCACTGGGCAATGACAGGTGAACAGAGGACCTCTGAGCAGGGGAGCAGCTGCTCTGGTCTCTGAAACTCCAGGGCCACCCTCAGTGGCCACCCTGACATGCCTCGGGGCCCAGGAGGGCTGAAAGCTCAGCAAGGCCCAAAGACCTAAAATCCCTAGAGCATCTGAAGGTGAGGCCAGACCACCAAGCAAAGCCTGGGAGTAAGACAGTTGGGAACCCAGAGTCAAACCAGACCCTCAACAGAAAACGCTCCTAAGTTCCAGGACACTAGCTCAGAGGCCAAGTCACCCATGCTCCAGGACACAAACAATCACATCTGGGAGAAAACTGGATGCTCATGAAAAATGACCTGAGTTACTCCTTACAACAGGAAGGCCAAGTCAAAAGTGAGACAACCATTCAGAAAAATCCAACACCAAATGCCTGCTCTACCCTCATTATCTGAGCTGCTGACACTCAGTTCTAATTCAAAAGTGGGGTTATGGAGTTGCTCTTGGGGGCTCACACTAAAGTCCCCCCAGTGCCCAGGACACGTGTTTGCAGAAACATGGAGGCACAGCCCCATCTTGAGAGAAAGCCTTTTTCCTCCCCAGGAAAGCTGAGAGTAATAAGTGGTGCCACACATGAGGGCCTGGGTCAAGCCACCGGACTTGAGGCTGGGCTCCATGCCAGGAAGTCTGGACAACCTGCCTGGCTGTGGCAGCCTGACCCTGGACCCTGGTTTCCCTTGCTGGTTCCAAAGTATACCAGGCACTTCCCTTGGAGGTCACCCTCAGCCAGGCTTAGGTTTTCTTCGTTTGTGTCCTCAGGGAAAGCATAGAGTTTGTAGGTGGCTGATGCTCACAACAATAGCTTATTAAGGTGAATAGCTCCTGGGGCGTCACAGTTCCCGTCTCCAGCCTGGCAGTGGGTTACAGGAGACAAGGCCACCACCAGTTCTCTCAGCTTCATCACTGTAAGGCAGCGTGCTGATATAGTGGAAGGGGCTGACATACTGCTGGCTTCTGCATGTGCCTTTCCAGTCCCTGATGCCCCTGTCAGAGCGGGGAGCGGTCTCTCCCATGCACATACCTGGCTGACACCCCAGACTGGTGGACGGCTGCACATGTGCGTATACATGTGCGTCTTTGTGTCCAGGTGTGCATGGGGGGAGACAGTCCTGTCAGGAGCAATTCGCAGGGGCACCGTGGTGGGCCACCTTCCTGCCATCTGTCCACCAAGCTCCCCGACCCCTGCTGTTCTTTCTCATCTCTCATTTGGGTGCCTGTGAATTCCTCAAGGTCATTAGCACCATTTCTTCCTGATCTGCCTCTGCCCACTGCTCCCAGTGGCAGACAGTAACCACCTTGAGGTCTGGGCCCAACTGCAGTGGCTGTGGAAGGAGCTACCTGGATGTACCAGCCTAGAACAGGGGCCTGGAGGGAGCCAGGAGAATGAGAAAGTGGGAGCAGAGTCATCAGGGACTTGGTTTGACAGTGTGTATGAGTCAAGATCCAAAGTCTAACATGCACACGCCCCTCAGCACACCAGAAGGGCCTTGGAGCGAGCTGCCTGGCAAACTCAGCAGGGTCCACAGTTCTGCTGCTGTTCAACCTAGGGTCCAGCCTCCCTTCCTGGGACCCAGTAATTCCACTCCTAGCAATTTATCCTAAGTAAAAGAATAAATGGAAACCTGAACAGATGCTCAATAGCACCAACCATTACAGAAATGCAACTCAAACCACCATGAGACAGCACCTCACACCCAGCCAGAATCAAAACCGCAGATGATAAAAGTGTCCAGGACGTGGAAAAACTAGAGCCCTTCCCTGCATTGTTAGTGGGAATGCAAAATGGTGCAGCCACTTGGGAAAACAGTCTAGCGGTTTCTTGGAAAGTTAAATATAAACTTGCAATAAACTTCAGAAATTTCATTCTAGATACCTACCCAAGATAAATAAAAATATATATCTACCTAAAAACTTGTACACAAATGTTCACAGCAGCATGCTTCACAAAAACCAAGTGGAAACACCCCAAGATGTCCACTGACTGAGGAATGGATAAGTAAATGTGGTCCATCCAGACAATAGAATAGTATTCAGCCATAAAAACAATGAAGCACTGACACAGGTTGTACATGGATGGACCCTGAAAACATTACACTCGGTCAAAGACCCTAGATACAGAAGAACACCTATTATGTGATTCCACTTATGTGAAATTTCTAGAAAAGGCAAATCTATAGACAGGAAACTGGGTGGTTGTCTGGGGATAGGGAGGGACTGCAAATGGGCAGGATCTTTTGGGGGTGTGCAGATGCTGAAAAATTGGATTGTAGTCATGGTTGCATAACTGTAACAGACTAAAATCACTGAGCTGCACACTTGTGAGGGGTGGATTTGATAGTAAAGTTATATCTCAATAAAACAGAGATACAGAGATGATCACTAACGTCCCATTGGTACAGTAACAAGGGGGAACAGAGGAAATTCTCTAATAAGTCCCGACATCTCACTCCTGCCTCTCACTGGTCTCTGCCACCATCTGGCCGCCTGGCACATCCCTCTAGACCTCAAGCCCTTGAATCCTGCCTGCTAGGGTAACTAATAAGACCTCTGAGACTCTCACTTGGCTGGATGTGTTACTTCCTCCAGAACCCTCCCAAGTTCTTCCTCTGCCAGGGACTCAGGCCTCAGCTCCAATGCCATCCCAGGAGGCTGGCCCCACTCCCGCATGCCCAGGAGAGAGGCCTGGTGGGAACCAGGAGAATGAGAAAGGGCGAGCTGAGTCACCAGGCACTTGGCTTGATAGTGTGAGTCAAGGTTCAAAGTCTAACACATGCGCATGCCCCCTCAGCGTGCTGCCTGCCTAGTGGGGAGTCCAGGACGCACCTTTGAGAGAGGGAGGACAGCATGTTTCCCACTGAACCTAGGCCTGGGTACCCACGGAGAGTGGGAGCTACCACTGCCTCTGCTCCAAGGTCCGAGGAAACCCGAGTGTCTGCTGAGCACCAGGCACCCCTCCCTCTGGCAAGATCATGGGACTGGGTAAAGGCAGGGGCATCAGTGCCAGGGTGGGACATTGGGGTCTGACCTGCCTCCACATCAGTCACCATGGCACCACTGAGGGGAGGCTCTCCAGGTGATCCAACAGGCAGTCTAGGCAGAGACTGGCCATAGTTTGAGGGACCTGGCATATGAAGATATGCCCCTGTGGCCCCACAGCCCCCACTGTTCCCCTGTAGGCAGCAACATCAGAGCAGGAGTGCCACACACAGATAAGAGGCCTGGACGGTGTCCCTAAAATTCTGTGGGAAACAAGCCAGCATTCTCAGCACATGCCAGTGCCACCTGGGCCTGGGGTTGACAGGTTTTCCTCTCACTCAACAAAAAGTTCCAGAAACAGCTTCCAAGCACCAGACTGAACACCCTATGCCCAGAGGCAGGCTATACATCCCGCCCCAACTGTCTCTGACCAGCAGGCCAAGATTCACACTGTCCAGCTGGGGGGAGAGGGCCGGCCTTCCAGATCTTTTCTGCTAAGCGTGGAGCAATCCCAGAGCCTCTCAGGTCTTGTGCCAGTGGGGGAAAATGGGCTGCCAGAGGACCCTAAGGAATAGGGACCCCACTTCTCTGCAAGCCCCTCTGCCAAAGAAGGGGCATCTTGACAGAGTAGCATTCCCACCCCCTGAGGACCCCCCCATCTTTCTTACCTTCGGGCTCGGGGGCGTAGGGGCTGGTGCTGCCGGGTGACCAGGGCACCGCCCCAGAGAGGCCCCCCGGGGCCGCTCCTACACCAGCCGGCCGTTGCCGGGGGTCCCGGGTAGGGCGGCCCCCCAGGGAAGCCATGGTCCGACTCGGTCTCGGTGGCCAGCGAGGAGGCGGAGCTCCCCATGGCCCCCTCGACGGAGGCCAAGCTGAGAGCCGGGCCTGGTCACACGCGGCTGGAGCATGGAGGGAGGTGAGCACCCACACAGGATACAGGGCAGCTGGGCTGGTCAAAGTCACACAACAAAAATAAACACAGAGAGAATAAAGAGAAAGAGAAGAAACAGCATGATTCACAGGAACAAAGCCCCAGGAGCTCTGGGAGCGTCCCCCAGTGTGAGTGGCCTTGAAGCGGGAAGGCGACAGCCACTAAGCAGGGACATGGGGCCTACGACTGACCCAGCAGCAGGCAGTCTGCGGTGCCCACCCCAGGTACCTCTATAGCAGAGGCCCCCACAGGACCAAGGGCCAGATGTCAACAGAGCTGTACCCCCAAGATGGGACACACCGGTGCCAGGAGCTGGGCTGCAGGTACCCACCCCTGCCCCATCACCAGAGCCCCCTTCGCCGCTCCTGAAAACGCATATCAACCCATCAACTGTCCACAGGAGAGGGATGGTGGTATCACCAGCTGCTGATCTTCAAAGAGAGTTTTATCCTCAGTGAGAAGAGAAATGACGTGATTTGGCTTTATTGTAGAAGGTTCAGGGTATACTTAACCGAAGGAGAAAGAAAAACAAGGGAAGTGAACACAGTGGTGCAGCCCTGCAGGACAGCCTCCAGGAGGACAGAGTGCTACCACGCAGCCAGGCAAAGACCCACACAGTGCTGTCTACCCACATAGCCCTCTGAAGCCCTCCTGAGGGAGAGCCTCCTCGATCCAGAGAAACTTCAGGGGCCCAAGAGGAGATGGGTGACATAGGAGGGATCTGGGAGGCTGGCTAAGACTCCAATGGGGGACCATCTGTGCTCCAGGAGAGGCCTCTGACTCCCACGGGCTGAGGGGAGGAATGGAATACAGCCCAAAGGCATCCACCTTGAGATGGAGACAGCACGTCTCATTTCAAATGTGGCAAGTCCCAGTCAGGTTAGGGAAGATGCCTGCACTTCCTCCCCTCGCCCACCTGGCTGGGCTCTGGGCCAAGGTGGGCGTCTGCTTGGCTTTCCAGCTGTGCAGGTGACTAGCAGCACAGCTCCCACCCTGGGTCCACTGTCACCCTTCTCCCAGTTCCCAAACAGGTACATTGACAACAGGGGCCAGGGCTGGAGGATGCATCCTTGCAGTACAGGCAGGCCACACCTGAGAGTTACTAACAGCATACACGGCTCTGGAGGCCAGCAGAGGTCAAGCACAACGGGACATGGGAGGGACTCCTGCCCCGTAGCAATAACATTCACTGGGACGCCTTTTCTCTGAGGGACAGAGACATGGGTGGGATGTGGATAGCAGCACCAGCCCTTACTGGGCTGGTGTCCCCACAAGTCACCTGCCACTCAGGCCTCTGCCACAGAGCATGACCAGAGCTGAGCAGTGGGGCAGAGTCCCTGTGGCCTACAAAGCTGACAGTGTCTCCACCTGGCCCTTGAAGAAACGTCTGCCAGCTCTGGCCACCAGCAACACTGTCCAGCAGGAGCATCAAGTGAGCCACAGGGGTCAATCCTTGAACAGCCACATAAGAAAGGTACAATAGAGAGGTTACGGGAATCTCGATGATGTCCCTCATATAGCCCAACACACCCAAAACATAACTATATCAATATGAGACCGGTGAAACCATGTGGGAGCTGCATGACACCATCTCGGGTTGAAGTCTTTGGACTCGACTGTGGTTCACACTCACTTCTGTGTAGACGAGCTATGCTCTGGAGTCAGCAACCACATGTGTTGGTGACTTCCATACTGGGCAGCATGCAAGCAGGCACAACAGAGGGCCTATGTATAACAGATGTGGGTGCTCAGAGCACAGAGCACATCCACCAGCAGTCAGTTCCACATCAACCTGGGTCACTCAGGACACCTGCCTCTCCCCTGATTACAAGTCAGACAACAGAACAGATAGAACGGGCCCCTGAACCCAACTCCACACAGGAGCCCCTCATGGGAAAAGGGCCCAAGTGTTTCTGACACTCCCTTTTGCAGCCAAATATTGACAGGTGAATGGCAGGGAGGGGAGGAGCAGGTGAGAATAGGTGAGGGCTTAAGTTGGAGTCATGGCCAGTGGAGGTGCCCATGAAGCAGAACTGCTCATGACTTGAATCCAAGATGGTCTGTTTGTGATAAAGAGCTTTGCCTGTGTCTACCAGGAGAGCAGAGGGCTGCATGGGGGGAAGCCTTGCCCAAGAACCCTCAAACCAAGGATGGAGGCAGGGTGGACAATGCCATCTGCAACCAGGTCAGGTGACGCCACCACACACATCTGATGTATGTAGAGCCAAAGGGAAAGCCAACCCTAATGCAGAGTGACGACATGGCTCCAGGCCTCCCAGGGCAATGTGTGGGGCCATAGGGGCCTGGCTCTGCCTGGAGGAAGGAGCAGCTAAGTCCCACACAGGTTGGATGTGCTGCCTGAAGTGCAAGCTCCCACGAGGACCCATCTTCTCTTCACCAATGTCCTTAACAGGCCCTTAGCCACAGGACAGTAAGTGCTCAGACCCGTCACAGACACTTGGGGTATGTGCTGGCCTCCCACTTCTGCATGCTGGCAGAGCATGTGGCACCTGAGTAGGGCCAGCCCCTCAACACGCCTTCAGGAAACTCTGACCTTGTAGATCCCATCTGGAGAGGATGGGAAGCCCATTGAAGGGTGGGCTACGTGGCAATGGCCAGGCCTCTCCTGGGGGCTCCAAGAGAAGGGACATAGAGCAGGGCAGCCTGGAAGGACACATCTCCCAGAGAACAGCCAGCTCCAGAAAGGCCTCTCTGGAGATTTCTGGGGATGACAGCACCCCCAAACCCCTATACCTTGTCTTGGCCCACTGGGGGTGGGCACAAGCCCCTGGGAGTAAAACTCTACAAGGGAGCGCCCTGATTGGGCAAGGCACGCAGCCAGGCCACAAAGCACAGCATGGCTCTGTTGCCCGAGCTAACCAAGGGTCCCACCCGCATGGGGTTGTGTGGGAAGCTCTGCCAGGTCAGGGTGAGTCAATCCACAGCTCCCATCCTGGTTTCACGTCAGAATAACCAGGGATAGGAGCTTTTACAAATCCTGCTGCTCAGGCTCTGTTCTTTGAGATAAAACCCCAGGTAAGGGCCTCTTACAAGGCAGAGCTGACCCCAATCCCAGGTGACAAGCCTTGTGCAGCACTCTTCTGCAGAGCCTGCTCCTCCTCTCACCCCAGATGAGAGTGTAGAGAGATCTGCCACCCCGGCAAGAGTCTAGGTCAATTCATTCAGCAAATGCCCTTCAGGGCCCTGCTGTGTCCCAGGCCCTGTTTTAGGCACTGGATATGGCAACATGCAGGGACCCTGCCTGTAGGGGGCTCACTCTTTGGCTGCTGTGTCTTAAGAAGAGCATAATGTATAAAACACCTCCAGGCAGAAGCCAGAGCAGACAATGGCAGAACCAGCCCACTAGATTGTGCAAATGGGTAAGGCTCTGAGACCAGCACCTCAGAATGAGCAGCTACCCCACAGCCCCAAAGCCCCCACTGGTTCCTTCTGCCCTCACTCGGGAACTGCTGCCCTAGATTTAAATGGGGCAGTGGCCTAGATCTCCCCTCAGAAGCACAGAAGTGGGGCTGCTGCCGCCTTCAGAGAACAGGGTGTTAATCCATAGGGGCTGATTGGGCTGTCCCCCAGTCCTGGTGTGAGGCGTGTGCCCAGCATGGCACTCTGAGAGGACAGCAGGGGACCATCCCACCCAGAGTGACAAGTGCATGAAGGGCCAGATGAGGATGACCCTCTCCACAAGACCCCTGCATGGGATGCACCTGCCTTAGTCATGGCAAGCTGTGACAGCCCACCACCCCTCACCCCAGCTCACCTGCTCTCCCACTGCCCCTCTGAGGGTGGGCGCTGAGACCTCGGCATCTGGGAAGCAGGAAGGGGGCACTTCTCTGTGGGTGGCAGGTGAGTTGCTCAGGGCTGGGGGTGAGCAGACACCTGCCTGTGAGCCAGAAGCCTGCAGCTGTGGAGGCCATGGAGAGAAAGGCATAGGCCACATTCAAGTCCCTATGGGGAGGGAGTGGGTGTTTATGCTGTTGTCCCAGCTTGAACTCCTGGGGAGCCCTGTGAGTCCATGCTCTCCACATTAGCTGGTGGGGCACAAGTCCTATTAAAACTTATCAAGATCCATCACCCCATGCCGTAATAATGGTCCATCACCATCTGCAGCAACCCAGATAGGCCACCCACCGTACTCCGGAATCGCGCCCACCAGACATGAAGCCAGTTAGTCTCCCATGGCCTGAGGAGGGCTGCCAACAAGGCAGAAACACAGAGGATGTGAAGCTCCTGCCTGAGTGAAGGAAGCTGCCCCTGCCCTACCAGAATCCAGGCTGGGACCCCACCCCGGGGAGGGCCCAGATTTCAACCTCGCAGCCCCCAGAACTGGCAGGACAGCATTCTCCTGCAGCCATCCCTTCGTTCCCCTCCCTCAAAGGGTCAACAGCTCAGCAACATCAACAGCGCACTGTCTCGCCCCCTTGAGGTGGGAGGATAGCAGAGCACCAAGTTAGGGGACTGGCTATCAGGGACGGGGGTGGGGGGGTGTTCCACCTGGGGGAAACCAAAGGTACAGCAGAGCCCAGCAAGATGTGCCTGCCCTGCAGTGTGCCCCAGAATGAGAGGAACAGGGCCCCAGGCCTCAGACGCACAGTGTGGCCTTCAAGGCGATGAGAACCGGGCTTTGTCAAGACAGGGTCTGGGAAACAGGTCTCAGGAGGGTTCTGAGAATCAAAGGTTCTAAGGAGAGGCCGAGGCATCCCTGAAGAGAGAGAGGGCGCTCATATCTCATTCCAGCCATACTGCTCCACAACTGGTCCTACAGCACTTGGGAAGGAACTCGTCCCCATAGTGGAGATACTTGAGTTCCCTTTGTGATTGCAACTGGGTCAGCCACAGAGTGGGTTTGCCAACAGCACATCTACCCAGAAGACATGTCCCCTCTCCTGGAAAGTTCTGGACTCTGGCCCTGGAACAGATCCAGCCCCTAGGCTTACTGGCTCGGGCCAGAGTCCATTGGAAAACAGTGGTGACCAGCCATCTGTGGCTCTTGTGCCGGGCTACGCCCCACCCCTAGGCCAGGGCCACTCAAAGGGCCTTCCCACTTCCACACACATGGGCCTGGATAAGGAATGGCCCTTGGTCTCCCCGAGAACATTCCCATGGGAGGTGGCCTGGGGATGACATTCCTTTGGAAGCTGCATCTGTCTCTCACCCAAAGGTGGAGGCTCCAGGGAAGCAGCCAGCTCCTCACTGCTTGGTCTAAGTCCTTGACTATCCCTGGGCCAGCCAGGGTGGCAGGTAGGGCTGTTCGAGATCTCAGGGCCCCAGTGGACAGAGTCTCCCTTAGTCCGGCTCTGCCTACAGCAGGGGCTGCCAAAAAAAGGTGCCCCAGTGGGGCAGGGCTCTGAGTAAGCAGCCAGGCAGCTATTGAGATTTGCCTCGACCCCAGGTCCTGGCACCACCCGGCCACTCCAACCTCCAACCACTGCTGCAGGATGGGTGGCTTTGCACACGCGTATCTCTCCCGTCCTTCCTAGGTGCAGTACAAGGACCCAACTGGGGTAGTGTACAGCTCCAAAGACGCAAGAGGACACACAGTGACCCCATTCCTCGCTGCGATCTCCCCCACTTGCTTACTGTCACTCTCAGGTAAACACTGAGGCTAGCCACCCCCTGCCTACAAAGTCTGCACCTGCAACAGCAAATGTCACTGCTGACCTCTCTGAGAGAACTGAGAAGGTTCTGCTGAAATTATAAACACCCCCTAAGAAGCCAGATCCAAGGATAAATGCTGAGGGCTCCAAAAGTGTAACTACCACTTCCTGTAAGCAAACTTGGGAAGAAACACACCTGCCCCAAATCCTCCTTGCCCATCTACTCGGAGCTGCTGCCTGAACACACTACAAGGTGGTCACGCTTGGCGTTTCTGGACTTCTCTGTATGACCAAGTACTTTGTCCCTGAAGGTTCCAGCTGTCTGCTTTAGCACAGAGTTTGGAGTTCCTCACTGTGCAGATCCACTCCCACGTCCTTGGCCCACTCAGAGTGCCTACTGACCTTGGTCACAGTGAATGACCAGCAGTCGATGGGCTGAATTCACTCTACTTTCCAAAGCACCTGCTCTCTGGGATGGGAGGAGATGGACCTCTCAAAGTCAAAGGCACACATGAGATGGCTGGAGGATGCTCTAAGGAGGGGAATGGGGTCACTGCGTGTCCTCATGTGTCTTTGGAGCTGTAAACCACCTCAGTTGTGCATCGTGAAATAGGAAATTATGTTTTCCACACAGTACTGTCAGAGAGAGAGAGACATTCTCAGGATTTCAGTTTCTAGTTCTCAAGTTCAATACTGTCATCAGGGGCGACACCAGAGCTCAACACAGACCTCCCGGGCATTCTTAGCAGGAAGGGGGAGAAGCTGTATCCACACTGAGGGGATTGGCAGGAAAGATCTGGTGAGAGACAAGATCACATTTCTACTTTGAGACATTCACGCGGGTGCCAAGTAATGGGGCACAGGGCAGAACCAGAGGATAGAAAAGGAAGAAGTGCTGGGCAGTCCAGGTAACAGGGGAGTGAAGGAGTAGCTGGCTGAGCCCAGAAACCCCTCCAGGTCTTGGGTGCTCAGAGCAGACACAATATCTAAGTTCATAGGTCCCTGCCTAAAGCCATGTAGCCACTAAGCCTTGGGCCCAGCAGGGCTTAAACCTGGCTCTCATCAGCTTGTCTGCTCAGGAAAAGCAGCTCCAGAGATTTTCAGATGCAGAAGGGGGAAAAGAAGAGTGCCCCTTCTGGGAGCAAAACAATCTGAGATGAAGATGAGCCCACCCCCAAGGCCAAGCTGCACTGACTTCCTGTAAGAACCCCTTCCTGCAACAGTACCAGCCAGGCTGAAGGGCAGAGCTCCAGGGTCTCCAGGTACCCCTGTCCGTTTGGGGCTCTCTGCAACTTAGGCCAGGAAACACTATCTTCATCTCTTTGTATTTGAGAAAGTCACTCAGAAGTAGAAAGATGGAATTACCCTACAGACTCTGGAGGCGGAAAACAATCTCTCCACACCTGTGACTCACACAGCTCTCCAGACCTGGGCAGAAGAGGCCCAGGGATCCCCAAAGTAGGGGCCCCTGGGAGGAACACAGACCCTACTCAGCACCAAGGTGAGCCCCAGTTTTCCCCACAGGATGTCATGGCTGTGAGTTGTAGGACCCCAGACTCTCAGGCCTGGTCTTACAGGGATCCTGTTGCTTGCAGTCTGGTCATAAACTCCTGTGCATTCAGGGTTCCCCGAGAGCCACCCCGCCACCGCCACTTGACCACACAGCAATGGTTCACTGGTCAGGACCAGAAGGGCCCCTTTTGCAGCCAACAAGAAGAGCCGGTTCGCCCAGCAGCCTGGCAAATATTCTCAGGAGCCACCCTCTGTAACTTCCCAGTGTCGCTTCAGAACCAGCCCGGAGAGGAACAGAGAAGAGGAAGTGTGGGGTGGCCAGTGGGCACACAGGGCACGCCTGCGCTTCCCTCATTCCATGGGACCGCCCCCAGGCAGTGCCCAGAGTCCCTCGGTGGAGAGGGTGAGGGCACGACAGGACACATCGCAAAACCAGGATGCTGCCTGTGAGATAAGGGCACTCAAGGGCAGGGAGAGGCTGAGGACGCCTCCACTGTCCGTAGCACTCTGGGGCTAGTCTCCCAGTGACTCAAATGACCCAAGTCCCCACTGGCTCCCCTCTCCAAGCAGCGCCCCCAGCGCATCCCTGGCTCTGGCCAATGCCCAGGAGCTGATCTTGGCTCTGAGGCCAGCAGCCCTGACACTGAGAGGCGCCTGCCAGGCCTGGGCTCTGGCGAGGGTCTAGGCCGCGTCCCGGCCCCAGTTCGGCAGGAGGGACTCACCTCCGCAACCCGGCAGCGCTTCCTCCGTCCCTGCGGCCTTGGCGGCGCGGCCTCCGGCCCGCTCGCCCCTGCCAGCCGACCCACAACTTCTGCCACCCGCCGCGCTGCCCCACTGGCCTTCCGCGCTAAGTGGCGGAACCGCCGAACGCCCAGACCCGGCTGAACCCAGTCCGCGTCCAGCGCCCGCCCTACGTCGCCTCCGTAGCGTAGCGCCCGGCCGGGGCCCCGCGGCTACGGCGAGCCCGGGGCGCACGCGGCGCTGTGAATCGTGCGTCCGGACTACCGCTCCCACAGAGCCGCGCGGCGCCGATAGGACGAAAGCTCCGGGCGGTGCCTGGCACGCGAGGCAACCCGGGAATTGTAGTACTCCGGGTGGCCGACAACAACAGCCCCGATTGGCGCCCTCCAGGGGTTGGCCGACTTCCCGGGCCGCCCCACGCGCTAGCGCTACTAGAGATGGCAGAGCTTCGGGCCCGGGCATCGCTGCGTGCCGGATTTGGCGCGGAGTGGCGAGGGGATGCACCGAGAATACTACTGGGACTTCAGCTTCCAGGATGCTCTGCGCGGGAGGAAAAGGCGGGGCCTCCGCGTCCGCTCCAGTCTGGGAGCTTCCTGCTGCGCCTTGCGGGAGGCGGTGGGGGGGTCTCCTAGCCGCAGGTCTGCTGCCTAGACTGGCGTCGGGCTGCGCCCAGGACCCTACGTGTCACTGGGCTCTCAGACCTCCTAGTTTCCTCCAGGGCCTCCTCACTCTCTACCCAGCTCCCCCCTCAGCTGCCTCAAACCCTCTCTGCAACTCGTTCGCTTCTTTGATTCTCAAGGGCTTCACGGTCAAAGGCTCCAGTTTTGATGGCACCGACCTGGGTCTGAGACACGGCCTTGGCACTTAAGAGTGTGACTAGGGCACATTACTTCTCTGGGGCATTGGGAGGACGAAGTGAGATATCACCATAGATTGCGTGTGACCCAGTGCCTAATAGGAAGGAAGCCCTAAAACGTGGAAAGCCGGTGTTCCTCTGCAGGAGCCTCTGAAGAGAACCTGACCTCCTGCACAAAAAAGCCTCTTCTGGCTCAGTCTCCCTTTACGTTCCCTTTCTGCAGCCCTGAGGTCACTCTAAGACCCGGCAGCCACGCAACTGGAGCCCTCTGTTGCCTACATGTCTTGAAGGCAGCAGGGCATGCAGGATAACTCTGGTGTCAACAGTTTATGATACACAACTGAAGCACTGGGAGGCTGCTGTGGGATTTGGAGATGCTGAGGGCAGAGCCCCAAGGACTATGGCACTTAGGGGCATGTAGGGAGCCTGGAAAGGCAGGGCCATGCAGGAGACAGAAGCAAGACATGTCAGCTAAGATTTAGGGAATGTTTGGTTGTAGTCCAGTTCTGCCTCGAGGTCAAGTGGAGTTTGACAAATGGATGATGTTTGCTTCAGTGCCCACAAAGTCTAAGCTCAAGAGGACCTCCATGGGCAGGGCTCGATGCTCCTGAGAGGACATTCAAGCCCCATGAAAACCTCCATCTTACTTTTCAGATGCTGCAGCAGGGACACCGTGTTAATGTAGGGGCTTGGCTTTAGCTGCAGCCAAAACAGCTGCTCCCTGAGTGCCCCAAGGCAACAAGCTGCCTGTGGGGCACAGGACTATAGAGTGACTTAGCCCAGCCCCAGCCCCCTCTCCTGCATGAAAGTGATGATGATACTTCTGACCATGTGTGGCTGTGGAATCACATGAGAGGCCTGAGTAAAGGGCTGATTCCCAGTGGGGGCTCAGTGACCACAGGTCACCTTCCCTCCCCAGCCCCTTTTCCTGGGTGCTGCCTGGGGTGGTTGTGTCAGGACTGGTGTCCACAGCTCTGTAACCTCTCAACAAGAGAAACAATTGAAGTTGAGTCTGTTGACTTGATGGCCCAGGTTCCTGCCAGCTCACTACCAAGTTTTGAAGAGCCAGGCCCTACACTCAGGTGAGGAGAAAGCAGGAGAATCCCAGCCCTTCCCAGGAAGAGGCCAAGGCCTGCTGACGTGAGGGAGCAAGCCAAGTCACCAGAAGAGGGTCTCGGGAGGATTCTTCAAGACTGTTGAATGTGCACTGTCCCAGGAGGGAGCTGGAAAGAAAAGGTTCTATGTGCAGCAGGTGGCAGGAGGACCAGAACAGTAAGATAAGAGACATGTATGTGGAGTCAACCTGTGATCATCTTAAATATGCTGAGGCACATGGATGTAAATTTTAAATGACTATAAAGCAGAAAGTGACTTTCGACTCCCTAGACCTTGGCAATGCCATCCCAGCTGGAGGACACCACCCTCACAACTCTAAAGATAATAGAAGATAGCTCCCCTAAGGGAAGAAGGTGGGGGGAGCTGTGAATTCCCCTGGAGAAAGGGTGGGAAGGGCTGAGCAGAAGAAACCCCAGTTCCAAGGTGGGAAGCATTAATTCAAACCTCCCTGTGCAAATAAATGTCACTTGTGCCCACACTATCCTCAGCTTTGATATACAGCAGTGAACAAGATATGCCCAAAATGCCCTGTGAAACAGAGATTCTAGTGGGCACAGGGACCCTCATTGATGTGACAGGCATGCAGGAGCCAAGGCCAACAGATGGGCCAAGGGCAGGACTCACCTGTGCTGGGAAGGATGCAGCTAATTCGTTGGCTGATTTTATAGAATGACCTGTAATCATATGCTTTGTGAGATGGCCTCACAGATAAAGGGCCCTTCTCGAGGTTTCCATCTCCCGGTCTCTGAACTGCCAAGTTAAGGGGGCAGGCGCTGGGGCAGCTGGGCTGGGAGCGAAGCTGGGCACCCCTCCTTTAGTGTGGACAGGCCAGGCAGTGCACACAAGACAGCTGGAGGAACCAGGGCCTGCCACGCACCCACCTGCCAGCAGTCTTCTTCCAGGGGAAGGGCAGGGCCTTGCTCTGGGCTCTTCTGTCAGACAGAATTGCCCATTAGGGGGCTTGTGGCCAGGTGCTTTGGGGTTGGGCGTGAAGGGACCCCATGTGGGAGGGACACACTTAGGCCTGGGGGATTGCAGGCCTTGACACTGGCCCCACATGTCCCACCGCAGTCTCTTCCAGCATACTCTTCAGATAGCTCTGCCTGGGCCCCGCTCCTGACCTTGCTGCCAGCCACCTTCTGGAAGAAACTTCCAGGCAGCCCTTCTTGGGCAGCAGCCAGGCACCGCCTTGTTTCCATTTACATTGGATTTTCATTCTGTTTTCTTGCCCCACCAATGCCATGTCATTTGGCTGGAGACCCCTGGAGGGTCAGGGTAGGGATTTCAACATCAGCTGCTCATGGGGCCCCCATGTATTTAAGAGTTGAAAGGAGGGGCCAGCAGGCATCATTGGGGTACAGGGAAGAGGAAGCCACTTCCATCCTCCCCTTCCTGGCTCTGGCCTCACCTGAGAGTCCCCCCAGATCCCCACCCCCGACTTCCAGATTCTATTCTTAGGCAAGGATGGACCCAACAGGCACTAGACCAACAGACACAGAGTAGGTGGCAGGACAGGTGTCATCTAGAGTCAAAGCAGAGGCACCGGTCTCTTCCTGGGCCAGTGGAAACCCCCTCAGTGAAGTGGGGCTGGGGACATGGCCCTCCTGGACACCCACTTAAGTTCTGAACCTGCCCATAGCAGCACTTTGGCGCCCCCCAGTGCTGATAGGGCTTCCATGCAGAACTCCCCCAGGAGCCTGGGATTGAAGCCCACAACCCAGGCTCCAGCACAAGTCTGCTTCCCTGGCCAGGACCACACGGGTGGCTGGGTGCAAGTCTCTTGAATGGATTAGATAATGACAGAGGGTGTTGGACTGCCTGACAGCAGCCTGGGGAGTTACCCACCTCTGAGCACTGGGAGCACGGGTTGGTGGGGCCTGGTGGGCTAGACATACGGGATCCAGTGCTCTGCGTCCTCCTGGACTTCTCTGGGAATCCTGGTAGGAGGTGGGTTCCAGGCAGAACCACATTCTCCAAGTTTCTTCCTCAGTGCTATGCCACACAGCATCCTAGACCCTTAGAGTCCTGCTGCATCCCCAGCTGAGGATGAGGCCTGGGGTCTCTGCATCCTGCAGGTCAGGCTGTGTCCACCCATCACCACCCTCAGGTCATTAGCCCGATTGGCAACAGTTAGGGCCAGAGTCCTCAGCCTCCCTTGGCCTGTTTCTCTGTCTGTCTGGTATGTAGGTAGCTCAGTGTGCAGGGTAGGGAAGGAATGCAGTTTGCCACTCCTGTGGACACCTGGGCTGGGGACTTTTGGCTAACAATCCCCCTTCAAATCAGATTTGGTCACTTACCTTTAGTAACCCTGGTGGTGTCCCTGTGACTACCATGACAACTGAGCTCTCCTCTGGGCCTGGCCTCCCATCCTTTGGGCCCAGTCCCACTGGGGTCTTCGCCTTTTCTGTGCCTTCGCTTTGGGTATTTTGTGCGTGGCTTCTCCTGGAGCCCTTCTCTTTATTCCTGATTACTTGTCCCAAAGGCACATCTTGTTCATGAGCCCCAGAAACTTGTGATGCTAACCCCTCCTCAGCTGGGCCAGCCCTTGGTGCCATGCTGGAAACCAGGCTGCACTTAGGGGACAGGTCCTACCGTCAACTCAATGGCTCCTGGAGCCCATCACATGGCCCCCACCCCAAGAGGGCCCTTGGCTGAGTGCTGCTAGGGGCCTAGCCTGCAGATGCCATCCTGGGGCCTTCAGGAGGTTCACATCAAGGCCAGGAGGGGCTGGCTTGACCAGGTGGTCTCCTGCTATCTGAACTCAGGTGACACATGACCCCCAACCCCTCAAACACCTGTGGGGGATGCCAGGACAGGCCAGTGGCACCCCCACCCCACCCTTCGGCCCCCACAGAGGAAGGAGTCGGCCTCTACGTGTGCAGCAACAGCTTTAATCTGTAGTGACATTGTCCTGACTTCGCCCTTCTGCATCCAAGCTGCTGTCACTCTGCCTGGAAGAGTCTTTCTTGAGAGGATGGAAGCAGGGTCAATGTACAGGTCAGTGCCTGAGTGTTTGTGTGAAACATCTCCCAGCAGTTCATATTTACAGTTACAGTACTTCTGAGTGATGGACAGAAACAGACCCCAAAGCTGCATCAGCAGGGCGGGGCTGGGCGCAGAAAGCATAGTTCCAGTATTTATTATCATACATATATATATATATATTTCATGTGTATACACAGATAGTTTTCTCTTGGAAGTATTAAAAAATTGATCAACCTTCAATCTATAAAAAATACCTACTCTACATGATAGAAAAATCTCTCCTCCAAGTTTACACTGATTTACACCAAGGCTTTCCCCCAAATGTACAATACGAGGCAACGTCTTAAATCTTAGTGTAGAAGGTGGGCCACGTGGAGGGTGGAGGGACACTGGATAACACACATGCTCACACACACACACATACACACATCTCACACATTCGTATACAGCAGTGGCCAGACTGTGGGTGGGGTCTTGGCCCACCTGCGAGATCCCGGAGGCTCCTGACCAGTGCTTGGGCTCAGAGGGGCAGGCCCAGCATCCCTGTGGGAGTGACACTGCTGCTCCTGGTAGTGCAGGCACTGGGCAGTGGCAGCTCAGAGCCAGGCAAAGGCCTCTTTCAAGAAACAACCAAGCTGCTGGGAAGGCCTTGTTCTCTACTTTAGTTCTGTGTCCTTGGAGAGCCTGCACAGCCCAGCCTCCTGCAGAATGCACCTGGGGAAGAAGGACAACTTCTAATAACTTCAGACTCCCAGAGGAAACATTTGGACTCTGTCCTGGGAAATGGGGACTTCAATGAGGACAGCCAAAATCTGCACAGGGAGGGGGAAACTCCAGGAGGCCAGGAAGGTCACAACCATGGGGAAGCAGGACCTTACCAGGTCCGGCCTGCACCCTAGCAGTCAGAGGAGGCTGGCGATGTCCACCCCATGCAGATAGCACGTTCCACACAGTTAGACTCTCAAGTCTTGATGTGACAGCAGAGGCTCCTGCCCCAGCCCCATAGGGGCATCAGAGCCCCCAAGGGTCATTGCAGTGAGGGTCTAACCATGGGAACAGCTGCATGGCCAGAGGCCTCTGGGTGTGAAGCTGGACTGAGATGCCCCTTCTGGCTGGCAGACAGCCCTAGGAAAGTTGCAGGGGGGCGGTCCTGCAGCTCCTGGTCAGACCCTAACACGCACTGGCCACACCACCTGTCCATACTACCACGTCTGGCATGGAGGGTCCTGGGGTCCCTACGCTGTCCAGGAACAGCTGAAGCACCAGGTCAGAAAACCTGTGCAGGCCTAGGTGGAAGCACCCCGGACGGAGGTCCATTTCCTTCCTTTCTCCCCAAGTAGGGCAGGGGCAGGAGGATCTGCCACTTGGGAGGGAGCTCATGAGGGGTCCATCCCAGCCTGAAACACTGTCCCCACATCTCTGCAGAGGGTAGCAGGGAAAGGCCAGAGCTGAGGGCAGGCCCAACCCCTGCTGTGGGGTCCAGTCCCAGGGCTTCCCTTTCCTTCCCCCTCCTCCATGGCCCCGTCTTTATGCGCCCCAGCCTAGCTGTGTGCTCTAGGCTGAGTGGGCATGGGACCTGCTGGTCTTGGCCCGTGTGTGCCGTGGCCGTCTCTGGGCTGTTAGTGGAGTCCGGAAGCAGCCTAGGCTGGGCCTTCCTGCCTCTACTTGACCTCCAGGATGGATGGGTTGGTCTCCATGATGGCCACAATGATCCTGTCAATGTAGTCCTGCAGGCGGAAGTTGATCTCTTCCTGCTTCTGAATTGCTTCCATGAGCTGTAGGAGGAGCAAGGGGTCAGCACTGGGCACAGAGACTGCGGGTACCTTAGAGTCCTGGGCCTGGGAGAGTGGGTACGTTACCTCATCACGGGAGACTGAGCTGATTTCTGCAGCTAGGGACTCAGAAAAGGATGTGGAAAAGAGGTTCTTAGCACCTTGGATGCTAAGGTTTATGATCTGTCCGTTGAGCTCATCATTCTGCTCCTTCAGGTTACGGTTATCCTGGGGTGGGTGACATGACAGTGTCATTCCTGGGCTGTGGTTCCCCCGTGTACCCCTTTTTCCCATGCCAGCCGCCCGGAGGCCCCTGCAGGGTGTGAGGGTATCTGCCCAGCAGCACCTGCTTCAGCCTGCGGACCTCCTGCTCAAGCTCGCTCTCCCGGGTGCGGCTGTTATATTCCTGCAGGCCCACACTGCTGCTCCGGCCCCTCCTCTGCTCGGCCTCCAGTTTGAAAAGCTGCAAGTGCTCCAGCTGCTTGCGCAGGTCCTCGATTAGCTGTGTGAGAAGCCACAGGGTGAGCAGTATCAGCCCAGCTCCCCGCATCAGAACCTCTGCATTGGCCTGAACACCATTTCTCGGGAGGATGACAACGCTACACTTCCGAAATGCCACCACATACCCAGCACTTCCGTCTAGCACAATAATTAAAAGCTACAGGTGCCCGGCTTACTCCAGATGAGCCCTATGGATACTGGAAGCTGGGTGAGTGACAGCCAGGGCCCCTGCTTACCTCCTGGGTTGCTTCCTTGTCCCTCTGGAACTGGTGCCTCTCATGACTCAGCCTGTCCCCCAGCTTCCTCCTGTTCTCCTGCTCATCACTGAGCCGCAGCAACAACTCTTCAATCTCATCCAGCAGCTTCTGCTTCTCCTGCAAAAGTGAAACATTTGCTGCGAACACACCTCACCTACCACCTCATACACTTGGCTTTCCTCAGCTGCACGTCCCACCAGTCTCAGTCCACTGATGTCCATGGGGCTGCGTCTATCCTGGCGGAGGTGTGTGCTAAGGGCCTGGGCTGACCCAGAGCGCAGTGCATGAGGCAGGTAGAGCTCTTTTGGTGCAGATGTTCCCCTGCATTGGGACTTTCTAGGGGGAGGCAAGAGCAGGACCTGACCCGAGACCACTCAGCAGGTGTTGCTCATGGCAGCCAGGATGTGCTCAGGGTTCAGAGCTTCCCAGGGGACACTTGGCAGGAACGGGAGAACGGGGTAGGAGAGGCCTCTCAGTGAACATCTGCAGAATGGAGAATAAGGGGTCCAGCTGAAGTTGGCCCCTCAAGGACATCATCTCTTGATTCAGATCATGGGTCAACCTAAGCATGAACTTCTGGACCCAAAGATTCAAGGTCCATGGGAAAGCTGAGAAGCCAATGAGCATTCAGCACCTTCCAGCAAGGGATGACAGCCTGAGCTGAGCTTGTTCCCTCATACACAGGTCCAGTAGGGCCCAGCCTGTTCTTCGGAGAGGCACAGTTCCCCGGCCTGCAGTGCACCTCTTGGCTGACTGCACCCCTTGCGGCTGCCCTGCTTTAAAGAACTTATCTCAGCATATCCTGATCCCCCGGTAGGCATCAGGCACAGAGGGTGTGGGAAAGCCCATAGGCCGGCCTGGCTCACCTCGGTGTACACACAATGTAGAGCCTGGCCCTGCCTGCTCAATGCTCCTGGCTGGCAGCTTACCTCCTCCAGGCGTTCGATGTTGGCCTTCAGACAGGGTGTGCAGGACCTCAGCTCACTGTTCTCCTCATCCAGCTGCTGTAGCCTGGGACATAGAATGAGGCTGGGACTCACTCCCCAGGAATGTGTATCCTTGGGACTAGGGAGGCCAAGCATCTTGGAAACCTCACTTGGGGCTGCCCAGGGATCCACTGAGGCTACTCTTCCACATCCGCAGCTCAACCCTTATGCACCCATGCAAGTGCTCTAAGCCAGTGTTTCTCCATAGGCCAGCATGGTTGTTAAATACACTTCGGGCTTCAGAATAATTTCAGGTTTACAGAGCAGTTGCAGACACAGTGCAGGGTCCCTGTGGCACTCGGCCTATTTTGGCTTCCCCTCATAACATCCACTCATCACTGCAGCATGTTTGTCATGGCCCAAACTCACACTGGGACACTCTGGTCACCAAATCATGGACATGGTTCAGCTTTTCCACCAGTGCCCTCTCTGCCCAGCATCCCACCCAGGACATTGCACTTAGTAGTCTCTTTTGTCCCCTCTGGTCTGGGGCAGTCTCAGACTTTCCTGGTTTTTCATGACCTTGACAGTTTTGAGCAGTTCTGGTTATATATTTGGTAGAATGTCCCTCGAGTTGAGTCTGTCTGGTATTTCCTCATGATTAGATAGATTATGGGTTTGGGAAGAATCCCATAGAGGTGAGGTACCCCTCTTGTCACGTCAGATCGGAGGGGCCTGAGTCCACATGACTCATCACGGGTAATATTAACCTGGATCACTTGGTCAAGGTATGTCTGCCAGGTGTCTCCTCTGTCAAGTTCTACCTTTCTCGTCCATTCTCTGTCCTCTGGAAGCTAGTCACTGAGTCTAGCCCACACTCCAGGGGAGGAGAACACTCAGTGCTACCCCCAAAGGGGGCATCTCCATGTATTATTTGGAATTCCTCTGCAAGGATAATTTGTGTCTTTTCCGCATTTATTTATCATTATAGCATTACACTTAGTTACACTTTAGGTTGTGGTCCAATAGTATCATTATGAGTGCGGTGTTCAAACTGTTCCAGCTTTGACCTTCAGTTGGCCCACATCCCTGAGACATGCCCCATCGCTGTGTGTATATGATTTATTTGAGCACTTCCCTACTTTCTGGCACTACAAGATACTCCAGGCTCTGCTGGTTTTCACCCTGTTCCAGCCACAGACTCAGCCCTTTCCCCAAGGAGCCCTGGTTCCTTTCAATAATTCAGTTATCCTCACCATCCTGTTACTCTGCAGTCCCCCTTACTGAGGAGGGTCTTCCTGCATACTATGAGGGGCTGAGGCCATGCTGGGGAAGCCCTCGTGCTGGGCTGACCTCAGGGTCCTGACCCAAGGCTGCAGGGACCTCTGAAGGCCTCAGCAGCCCTACAGGAACCACAGGCCTCCTCTCCCCACCACACTCCCAGGGAGCTGCAGGAGGCCAATGGGGTCTAGGCACACAGAGCCACTGACCCTAGGTGCACAGGGCAGGCAGCAGGTTTGCTCAGAAGAAGGAATGATACTGAGTGAACTTGCTCCCCGAAGTCCTCATGAGACCCTGTCCACCGAGTGTCCCTCCAGGCTGCTGTCCTGCTGGCCTAGAGGCTCTGGTGTGGGCAGACGTTGGAAAGCAGGACGGTCCTGCCTCCTGGCACCTGCAACTCCAGTGGAGAAGACCCAAAGGAGAGGCTACCAGCAAAAACCAAGGAAACATAAAGCTTTCTTTTAGTCCACTAAACTGTAATGTCTTGGCTGCCCAGGCCTGGCTGTCCCAGATGGTGACACCCCACTGTGTCTGCATGGAAGGAGGCCTCCCTGTCCAGGGTGACCTGGGCATAGTTCTGTGTGCAGCCCCCTCCTGCTACCCCCAATTTTGAAAATGCCCAAGAGCTTTTCTTAGACAAAGTTGAAGTGTATCTTCCCAGCTTTAAGAGCTGAAGAGAAACACAAACTAAAGAACGTATAGTCCTCTTTCATGAATATTTAAGACTAGTGTATTTTGAATTCTAAAAGTGGTACTGATTCAGTTAAAAAAACAAAATAACAACAACAAAAAACTTTATGAACTACCCCGACCCTCACTACCCACTTAAGGGAAGAGCTCTGGGAGTAAGAATAGGAAGGAAATCTAAAATAACCTTTTACAACACCATTTCTCTGCGAAGCTGTTTGTGGATTTTCTTTTACAAACAGCATTTTAATAGAGCTGTTGTTTACATGTGTAATTGTGAGTGTGTGCCATGTGCCTGAATGCGGCACTGCCGTCCCTGAGCAGCATGGGGCTGCCTGCACCTCCCGTGCCTTCAAGCTCAGTTTTATATACAGTGTGCTCATCTCCTTTCTCTGCTCCCCCTCTATTTCTGACTCTATTCTGACTCACCTAAGGCTCATGCCTCCAGAGGAGTATAAAGGTGATATTGTCAAATTGCCTTAAAATAAGATTGATATTTTGACTGAGATAACATCTACGAGGGATAGACTGAGAGAAACTGACATCCACATAGGGTCAGTTTTTGAATTCAGCTCTTTTGTGGCCTTTGTTACAGTTTTACAGTTTTCTTCACATAGGTTTTCTACTTTTCCTAATCAAATTTATTCCTAGACACTATACCTTCCTGGGGTCAGGGGTGCTGTCATTCATGAAAGTGTCTATTGCATTTTCTTACTGACTGTTCTGGAGAGTCGTGGCAGCCTCGCCTACCTGGCCTGTAGGTTCTCGATCTCGATGCTCTTTTCTCTCTCCATCTTGCACAAGAGCTCCTTCTGCTTCCGTGTCTCTTCCAGGACCATCTCACAGGCTCTCAGCTCCTGCTCCTTCAACTGCTCCTCAAGGGCATTGGCTCTGTGAAGGCCAAGGGAAGAGGTGAGAGACTTTCTGTGCTTCTACCAGGGCCTAGATGCTATATCAACCCCAAGAGAGCTGCCCTACCTGGAGGACAAGAAGGCTGTGAGACTTCCCACTCACAGCTCTGGTCAACGGCAAGTCTGAAGCGAGAGGTACACCCCTACCCTACAGCCTCCGCTCTCCACACTGAGGGTGGTATGTGGACAGGAGACACAAGCCCACCAGTGCCTCTGAGGCACCCTGCACTGACACTTCAGGTTGGGCACCTGGTATACAGACTAGCCCCCACCCAAGTCACCCACATTAGAGGTCAGAGCAGGTGTCAGCAAGAACATGAGGACAAAGGGAATGTCCACATTGGGGGCCCGGACTCTGGCCCCCTCCTAGACTACCAGGCTCACCCACAGGAACAGGCACTGACTATCCCACAGAGAAGGGCTGCAGGCCCTGCCCATGGATGGCACAGAGCCCATGAGCTGTCTCCACACAAGCGGCTTCTTCTCATCTACTTCTTAGCATTTCACACCTAAGAATAGATGGCCGAAGATCACTAGCTACCACAGGAAAGCTTTTAACACAAAGTGACCAAAGCAAACAGAAAAATAGGGCCTCAAAGAAAATATACATCATCCACAAAATAGGGGTGATGTCACAGAAGAAAGAGATGATAAAAAGTAACTTAGAAATTAAAAATATGAGAAAATTTAATTCAGTAGAAGTGTTGTAGGAGAAAACCAAAGATATTGCATAGGAAAAAAAAAAAAAAAGAGGAAAAAAAATAAGAAAGTCAAGAAAATGAGAAAAAGGTCCAGAAAATCTAATATTTGATTAACAGAAGTTCAGATAGATGAGAAAATGAAAGACACCGTATGGAGAAATAATTCTAGAAACCTTCCTGAAGCTGAGGGGCATGCTTTCCAGATTTAAAAGCTGAAACCACATGCCCAGTACAGGAAACAGGAGGAGGCCCTCTCGTGTCCAGGATGACAACGGGGTTACTCAGTGGCACCAGGTGTCCCGAATGCAGCTTGGGTATAGGGGTGTGTCACAGAAGAAAGAGATGATAAAAAGTAACTTAGAAATTAAAAATATGAGAAAATTTAATTCAGTAGAAGTGTTGTAGGAGAAAACCAAAGATATTGCATAGGAAAAAAAAAAAAAGAGGAAAAAAAATAAGAAAGTCAAGAAAATGAGAAAAAGGTCCAGAAAATCTAATATTTGATTAACAGAAGTTCAGATAGATGAGAAAATGAAAGACACCGTATGGAGAAATAATTCTAGAAACCTTCCTGAAGCTGAGGGGCATGCTTTCCAGATTTAAAAGCTGAAACCACATGCCCAGTACAGGAAACAGGAGGAGGCCCTCTCGTGTCCAGGATGACAACGGGGTTACTCAGTGGCACCAGGTGTCCCGAATGCAGCTTGGGTTAGAGGCAGCAGAGCCACCAAGTTCTAAGGGAACCTACTTCTAACTAGAATCCCAGCTCCAGCCCCACTGTCAGTGGAGGGTGAAACAGTTTCAGCATGCGAGGTGTCAAAGAAACTGCTCCTGTGCATCATTTCCCAGGCAACCATCAAAAATGTCCTCAGAATATGAGTAAAATGGAAAATGTGGAATCCAGAAAGTAAAGAACAAAATGCAGAGGAAGCATGTGGAATTCCTGGGATAGTGGAAGGAGAGCTGTACCAAAGGCCATCGTCGGCTGACAATGTTACACACGAGAAAACACCATGAAACAGCAGCAGAAGCATGTTGTTTAGAACTGGGGCCAACATCAGAAGAAACATCCACAGTAGCAGGACGTGGCTGACCCTGGGGTGAGGTGGAACATGGACTTTCCACAGCATATGTGGGTAACTGATAAGTGCCCATCAGATTAGACTAAATCTTACCAGTTGGCTTGAGAAAGGTTTCTAGTGGCCCATCCAGTCTTCCCTGGTCAAGGGAACCCAAGCCCCTCCACGGACGTGGTGGACTTCACCCCCAGCTCTACAGCAGGGCCCAGGCAGGCCTTCCTGTGAGAACCCCAAGATCAGGGTCTCAACTTCACAAGAGCATTTATTTTTACTCCGTTAAAGCAACGTGTGAGTTATACCCACAATGGCATGGTGTGTTCCACTTCTTAGCTTCCAAACAGTAGACTGACCTCCTAACACTAAAGAATAGGCCACAAAGGTCAGTACTATCCAGGATGAAAACACTATAGCAGAAGCTAAGCATCCCCTGGAGCCTATTATGTGTATGCCGTGCGAGTTTGTGCAGTGTCCAGTGCTGTTCTGAGCGCTCTGAGTCCACTCAGGTCATGGGTGTGGAAACCAAGGCTGTGGGGATGGGGCCCTTGCCTGAAGTCACAGAGTGTGTGGCGGAGCCAGGCTTTGGCCTCCGCAGCCTGGTGAGGACAGATCTCTCGTGCAGATCCCCCACACACCATGCTTCCTGCTTCTCTCATGCCCCTTAGGTCTCCCCACTGCCTCGCCCCACAGTACCAACTGCATGCGGGCAGCACAGCCAGAAAAAACTGATGCTTCTGGGCCAAGCTCGTTGTGCTCTGCACGAGATGCATACTGCTGCAAACAACATGAGGTGGCACAGCACTAGTTTCAAAATGCTACAACTCACAGAGTAGTTTATGAAAAGTCCATACGAGGATAAGGGAAGTAGCCCTCACCTCCTCCATGTAAACACAGTAGTTACTCTGCACTTCGCACATGCATTTTATCTTCCTTAGCACTCTCATCATTGGAATCAGACTGTGCACCCCACCATGTACCCAGCAGTTCCTACTTGTTTCTTGTTTCTATGGCTAAGCACCTGCAAGGACCCACATGCTCCAAAGACAGGTCATGCTCCCACTGCAGGCGGCTCTGGAGGCACTGGCTCCCATCTCTAAAGCCCCCACTTGCTTGAGGCCCTGGGCAATCACCTAAGCTTCCTTAGCCTCAGTTTCCGCATCTGTGAAATGGGGACAGTAGCAGTATCCGCTTCACAGGGATGATAAAGGTGAAACCAGGTAATATGAGAGAAGTGAGCAAAGCACAGCAACTGTCAGAGCCAACTGTGTCCAGGAACAAGGGCCTGTGGTCGGCAGTATTTCCTCTGGATGGGCTCTCAGGAATAGGAACACAAGCCAGAGACCCCACAATGGAATCTCAGAGCATCTCCTCTCTTCACGAAGGCGCAGCTGCCCCTGAGGCCAGGCCTCCACCAGGTGCTTTGTATGGGTGGTGTGGGTGCTAGCCACAGCTGCTTTTGTGGGGTGAAGGGTGCCCTCCCCTTGCTCTTTCCTCGGGGGCCCTACATGGGCCAACGGCAGAACTAAGTCAGAGCCATGCTCAAAAGGCCACCTGGCACCATCCCCAGGGTTGGTACCCAGCAGTGGGAAGGAGGACAGCTCCAGATGAGAGCCAACCTCTGTGCAGCAGCCACGCCCTTGTTCTGTGAAGCCAAGAGAACTATGCCATACTCACCTGTGCACCAGCTGGAGGTTTTCCTGCCTCAGCCGGCTGTGCAGTTCCCCATTGGCAGCGGTGTCCTTCTCTAGCTCTGACACCCGCTTCTCCAGGAAAACAACCTTGGGAGGAAGATAGTGGCTTGAGAATCAAGGAGTCCACACCCCCAAGCCAACTGTTTAGAAGCAGCAGCGGTCACTCGGTAGAGCTGGGTCTATCTTGCTCATGGATACTGTCCTCATAAACAAGGTAGCGCAGTCCCACAGGCGTAAGTAAGGACAGGGAGCACTCCATGGCCTCAAAATCACAAGAGCAGATGTCAACACGGGCCTAGAGAGGCCTGCGATGACCTGATAACACTTTTGTGATGGATCTGTGATGGCGCTTGGGGCAGCCAGGCTATGGGCCCCCCACAGGCAGAGGCACCAGCTCTCTGCCAGACCCAGACCATGGAAGCAGCATGTGCTGGGAGACTCAAGGAACAGAAAGGCCCAGAGTCTGGTCCCCCCCTCCTCAGGAAGCTCACTAACTAGATGGGAGACAGATAACCACACATGTGGTAGGAGGAGGGAAGGCCAGCTGTGAGAGCCAGAGAGGACTCTACAGAGCAGATGTTGGAGGTGCTGGAGAGAGAAAGTCCCAGAGGAGGTGAGAGGGGACAGGAAGAGGTGATGAAGGATAGGAGGTGAGGGGGGACAAGCGGGGGTAAGGGGTATATTCTTTCTGAAGCTGGTTCTTGAGAAGCTCAGGGCCTTTATCACAGATGACTGTGCAACCCCACACAGCCCATTTGCCTCTCTCAGGGAACAGCTCACTCCACACGTTGTTTGGCTCTGTAATCACTGCAAACCAAGTACCCTCCTCCCTGAAACCTCAACTCTCCCCAGACCCTGCCTCCAGGGGCCCTGGTGAGCTAAGTCTCTGATGAGTGTCAGTGCACCCTGAGCTGACCATATACAAATGCAGGTTGACAGCCGCTGGCACTCACTGCTCTGTTCCCATCCTCTCAGTTCCCTTCCACGTACGTGAAATGATGGAGAACAGGAGGGCTGTTGGAGGATCGGATTAGCCCTTATGGTGCCATCACCAACCACTTTCTGCTGTGCTTGCCAAGATAAGTCCTGGCACCCTAAATGCACCTCACCTAACATATCCCCAAACAGCCCACACCCAGAGGCCACAGCACCCAGCACATGTCCAGAGACTGGTTGTTTGTGTTGTCTACACATGGTCCTTTGGTCCCACTGTCCAGGGCCTACCTTGTCTGCAATGTCCTCGTCCATACCCTCCACAGGGTCTGGGGGAGGGTCCTGCAGGGCCTCCATTGTCAGGGCCCCTGACTGGTGCAGGTGCCTGTGGAGAAGAAACAACAGCCCAGTCCATAGAAGGTCCTTTAGCAGAAAAGAGAGAGAAAAGAAAGTGGAGAGCCAAATGACAAGTTCTTCAAGCATGAGCATTTCTAGGTCAGCCTGAAGAGCAAAACCCAGCAGCCTCCACTGAAGAGAGTTTTGAGCAGGACACTGTTATCGAGGGACTGGGGCAAGCTGGCTGCACTCTGGGTCTGGATCTGCAGAGACCTCCTGCTGCTCTTTGGAGCCTGACAGGCCTGGCTTCCTTCCCCACCAGCTGATGGGGTGAGGGTACTTTGTACTCAGGCAATAAACATGATGCCGTTCCTTGCTGTGATAAGAAATAATTTCATCTTCTGCTGCAGGTCTGTGAAATACTAATTCAGGATCACGCCTGTACATACAATGTCACCTACATGCATCTTAATATTTGATTTTCAAATGTACTCCTTGTGGAAGCAACAGTGAGAAACCAGAGGTCTCTCAGGGTCCCTCCTTGGAAGGAACACTGGTGTGACTGCCCTCTGCCACAGCAGCTCCAAGAACCTGGCACTAGTGAACACAGCTCTTCAGCCCTATGGGCCACGCCAGGTGCCGCACAACCTAGGGCTCAGATGGGCGCTGGCCCTGGCCGTCCTGCAAAACCCCGCTGGGAGCTCCACACCCTTGGAGCTCCTTCCTTTGATCTTTGGTCACTGGCGCCTTAGCAGGTGATCAGCAAATACATGTTCAGAATCACCCTACAGACAATCTTATTAGTTGTGGTGACACTATACCAACTGTAATTTACCTGTAAAACTCTCAGAACATTTGGACAGAGTCTGTATGTACTGGCCCAGGGTCTGAGTTGACACTTTGATGCTCAGAGCTGTATGACCTTGAGAAAGCCATTCACCCTCTCTGAGCCTTATTCTCCTATAAAATGGGGACCTGCAGGCTATTACAGGGTTTAAATGAGGTTTTATATATATGATAGCTCTGCTAAGGACATAGCACAGGGTAAGAATTCAATAAAATGCCACTGAAAATCACACTGAAATTTCTATATTATCTTTATCACAGGTATCAAGTTCTATTTCCATTTTAGTCCTGACTGAGCTTGTACACTTCTTAAATTTTTTTTCCCAAGAATGTTCTAAGGGAAACAAAAAAAAGGGGCATCTTCATCCATGGGGACCATGAGTCCCCAACATGTACCATGGGTGGGACATATGAGCACCTTTCTATCAATTTCACTGGATTCCCTGAAGGGTGCTGAACCCAAAGGGCAGAATGTCAGACGGGGCCATCATGTTTTCATCCAATTGCTGTTCTCAAACACCCATGACCTTGACTCCAAACATGAGCTCCTGATGCCAATCCCAGGACAGGAAGCTGCCCACCCCAGATGCAGAGACCGTGTTTAGGAGGGACTATGGCGTGGGGCCTGTCATCCGATCTGACCTCCTACTAGGGGCTCAGAGCACTTTTGAACCGCTGAACCTGGGGACAGGAGGTCACACCCAGTCTCCAAGCTGGCCAGTTCCCTCTGAAATGTGTGACCCCAGCATGTGACCACCTCAGGGGAAGGCCAAGGTTCCTAGGCATAGTAGATGAGGAGCTTGTTTGTTTAAACTCATCCCAACTCAGGAGACCCGCCAGGAGAGGGGACTGTAGGAAGTGCCTGATCATCCCAAAGGGAGGCAGGTAAAGTCTGGCAGGTAGACCACCAGGTGCCAGGACTGCACACTCAGTGTCATCTAACCAAGATCTGCTTTCTGCCGTTTGGTGACCTTGCTGGCGCCCCTCCCCCATCCCGAAGCCAGCTCTGTGCCAGTGCCTCAGGGTCCTCACATGTACACCAATCCCAGAGCCATCTCTATGCAGGTTAGGCACACAGCCAGGACACAGAGGCCAGAGCTGGTGGCTCCAAAACTCATAATCCAGCCATAAGCCCACATGCAAAGGACTAAATCACTGTGAGGAATGAAATTACAAGTTATTTTGAGTTTCCTTAGAATTCTAGTGGCATTGTTAAGGGCAAAATAGCAGCAGATTAAAATTCCACCTACATGGTATATATGTACAGGCTGCAGAATATATCTCTGTTTGAAAACTCTAAACCCGCAGATTGGACTTTTCTATATCAAAGGGTATTTGTGAAGGAAAAATCAAGCTCTCACAGGGTGTTTCAAAGGAGGGAGCAAACAAAGCCCAACAACTGAGGCAGTCTGGGCCCCGACCAGCCCCAGGATCTCTACATGTCCCAAACATGGGAGACTGAGAGGAGATGACTCAGCTAGATTTTTACCTTCCTTAGTTTCACCAGCTGTGTAGACTGTTTAGGGTAAAGGATGCAAGTGAGACAGAAAGTAATGCTAAAACTAGTAAAGTGTGGGTTGGAATTAATATTACATCCCTAAGAACTTGGATGATATCCTAAAAGGGGTGATAAAGAAAACGAGAGGAGAAGGTGGATTGATGACTACTGCCTCTGCTTCCTCCAGATCCAAGCCCTTAAGATGATAGAAAAAGAAAAACAAAGGTTTATATCCTCCAGGACAAGGAGAGCAGAAAAGGAGATGGCACCAGGAAAGAGATGTCCAGGGCACTGGGCACTGGAGAACAGAGGGAAGTGGGCCACAGCCAGCTAGTGTGACGATGGAAGCTGGCCAGTTCCCTCCGGTGAACCCAGGAAGGACCGGCACCCGAGCATAGGGCAGCAGAGATGAGTACAGAGGGTTGGAGGGGTGGTGTCTACCACACCCTTGAAAAGAAGGCTCTGCTAGACTCAGGACACATGGGCTACAAAAGGAATGCACCCACAGGCTGCAGACTAAATAGTGGGCCCAGCACAATTCTCCAAATGCCAGCAGCCAGGCAGGACTCCACTCTGGGGAAACTGTAAACCTGGTTGGAGAAAAAACCTGCTGACACAGGGGTCTTTCCACACCACATGGTGGCCAGAGGCCACTGGCCAGCTGTGAGCTACCACTCCAATACGCGCAGAGAGCACATCCCCTGTTATTTGAAGGACGGAGCCCAGATGAGAACTCAGGGAAGAGAGGTAGAGGAAGAGTTGGTGGTAGATGCATCATAGGAGACAGAGCCAGTGCATGGAGAGGGACAGGAGTGGCAAAAACAAAGGCATGCAGGGCTACAAGCAGCAGTCCCAGAAGGAGCAGGAAGTGGAACAGAGGACACTGTCAAAGAAACAGCTCGAGAAAGGTCCTGAGAACTAAGAGACAGAAGCTTCCAGACTGGAACAGCATGTCTTTCGTTTAGCCCAGAGTAATTAATGAGAAAGACTCACAAGACTCATAAAATTTCTGAACTACAAGGATAAAGAAATTATTTTAAAAGCTTCCAGAGGGAAAAATCCTCATGAAGAAAAATCAGAAAGCATTAGATCTCAGTAGTAGCCCTAGTACTAAAATATAATGAGCAATGCCTTCAAAAACTCTAAAGAGAAATTATTTACAATCCAGAATTCTATACCAAGCCAAACTAAAAGAATAAATTATCTAGCAAGGTCTCAGAAATTTATCTCCTGGGCACTTGTTTTCTCAAGAAGATACAGAAATATGTGCTAGACAAAAAAAATGGAGATTAAAAAAAATAGGGAAGACACAGGATCAGGGAGTGAAATGGTCCAACACCTGAAACAAATATCCAGATTGCAAAGAGCCTCTAGGAGGGAACATCTACATAGGCACAGGGCTGCCTCGTGGCCCTGTAAGAGGGCTGGGCAGAGGAAACAGGAGTGGCACAGAAGATGAAGCAAATAAAAGCATGAAGAAAATCAGTGACCCCAGGAGAAGCAATGACTTATCTAAAGGAAATACAGAAACATGTTACATGGCTTCTGCTGAAGAACACTGGCATCTTATAAACCCTGTGAAAGTTTTCTTTAGAGCTAACATAGCAGGGGAGAGGATAAATGTATGTGCTGTCATCTATCACTACAGGAAGCTAATAGGTAGTATACAAAACTGAAAAATGAAGAAATGGTCACAAAAGCATTATTCTTTAGAAAACCCAGAGTTAGGCTCATCTCCTTCCCCTTCTCACCTTGGGGAACCAGCGAGAAGGGTGCGGCCTTTGAAAGAGGCATACCCAGACCCAGGCTCCATCACATTCTGGCTCTGTGGGATTAGGCCCCTCACAGACTCCCTCTACCAGTGGGTTAACCTACAGCAAACATCAGTCCCCTTCCAGACCTTGTGCTGAAGACTCAATAAAACAGGAGGAATGCCAAAAGCTTTCAATATAAACTTGGTGACAATGACGTTTCAACCCACAGCTTTGGAAATGCTTTTCACAACCCAACCCCTCAAATTATTTTCAATTGCAAACCATGAGAAGTAACTTTCATAAGTTTTTAAAAATACCTTGGAAAACAGTATTTTCTAAACATATTTTTCCAAAGAGCTATATTAGTGAGACATTTCAGAACATCTCAATAAGTAACCAATGGTCTCTTACCTTGCCACCTTCTTGCTGGAGAGCCGCTTCTTTGGACTATGCAAAATCAAAATAAACAGGAAAATCATGTCAGAGAACAGACAGGGAGGAAAGGGAGGAAACAGGAAATTCAGGCTGAAGAGATATGGGGATGGGGGTGCGTCCACAGGCATGCAGCACCCCGCTCGTGAGGCCAGCTCCATGCATAGAAAGGCCCAGTCAGCAAAACATTCAGGGACATAGGAACAACCTCAGGGGCTTATCAAGACTTCAACAAATCGCAGTATTCCATGCCCAAAGAAACCTCCCATGGAGCCACAGTCAGACCTCAGTTCAGAGGCCAATCCCAGTGCCTGGACCTCTTAGCTGGCTGAACTGGGTCCAAGCCATAGGCTGATGCCACATCCCAAATGCTTTTAAAGCCAGTTGGCCATCAGAGGCCCTTATATGAAACGTGACACGGGCCTATTTATAACAGCAAAGTGTTGTCATTGGTTTTAACTTAGGCACTGATCCTTCGCACTCCAAAATCCCACCTGGGTAACTTCCCTGGTGCCAGTACTCTGCAGTACCCAGTGCCCAGCAGCTTCGCCTGACACAGTTTTTATAGCAAAATGCCTTTGGTGAGACCTCTCCCAATGAATAGCTTTCCTGGCAGCCATAGAGAAGATTTCCAGCAAATTCTAGAAGGTAGATTTCCAACAAGTTCCCCCAGTACATCACCACAGTTTGCCATGGCCACACCTTCGGCAGCAGGGTCGGATCTCAGTCCTTGGTGGGCTGAGATGCTAGTACTGTATTCTTCCGAGTTCCCTCTACTCTTACTAGCCAATCTCTGTTGTAATTCTTTTTATTAAACGTTCCATGTTTAAATTACTGTGTGGCTCCCCTGACTGGGCCCTGACCGATACTATATATTTTAACACAAATCCAATTTCATCCAAATGTTACTGAGACTCCCTGAAACTAATAGGCTTGAACAGACTCACTGTTCAATTTTCCTAACTGACCACTCAGAAACTAGAATGGCACTCCAGTGACAGAGTTTATAATATGAAAATATACCTCTGGGTAAAGCAGATTTCTATAAAATTTCTGTAGAACCTGGAAAATATGATAGTTGGCATCTTCTGAGGATCACTGGGTGGAAATTACATCTGACATCAAATCTTCCAGATATGGTTTGGTCTAAATCACCTTTTACCTTCCGCAAAATACATTTATTTTGAGGCAATTCCATGGAAATCAACAGGCGAGATTCAGATCTCCTAAAATAAGTGTCTAGGGAGACATTTCCTGACAGTTGTGTCCTGATTATAATAATGATTTAACCAACGTTGGTAGAGTCTGTCTTAGGGAACAAGTGGCTGAAACTGGAGGTGAGATCACACTGGACTTGCCAGCCATACTTAGCCCCATTCGTCTATTCTCTGCTCCACAAAGCCTGGCAGAGGTGACCCTGAGAGTCCTGGGGCAGATTCTCCACATGGAAAAAGGTCACTTCTACATCAAAAATCTTCAGAGAACGAGAGATGACATACCCATATTGGAACCCACTTAGCAGGAAGGCAAGTCTCCACATGGAAAGGACAAATGACCCCTCACCAGAGCACCCAGGTAAATATACACAAGGTGAAATCAGTTTTCCATAAAACAGAGGCCAGTGGGTCTTTGGAATCACCAGGCACCACATTTTCTCAAGTCTCCCTGGAAGGCCTCCATCGAAGAGCACTTCCTGTTTCTTATCATTGCTGCTGGGACCCCACTGGGCTTCTCTCTGAAGTTGCTGACAGGCCACAAATGCTGAAGTCCCGTCCCATCCTTTCCACCTGACCGTGCATTTGCTGGACTCCAGCCTGTGTTCTGAGTGTTGTGCGGAACATTAAAAAAGGCGTCAAAGATGTGCTGGAATTGGAACTAGAGGTAGAAGAGCAGGTACAACAGGACTGGAGCCATTAGGATCCACCAAGAAGACTGAGCTGGCCTTGGCTGAGGCTCTAAAGGGGCAGATTCCTCAAGATACATAAGTGGGTTCACATTCCTGCCATCTTTTAGGTAACCTACCGACCACTAGTCCAAGATCCCTTCTTCTAGGAACCCACCCTGGATTGTCAACTGGGAGCCCATAGTACCAATCAGCATGTACCAGCCCTTTCTGTGCTCTAAGTGGCCCGCCCTGGGGCTTGCCCATATAACAAGCTAAATCAACAATATGCTTCATGGGCATGTCTATATGTACAACCTACCCAAAAACTGTTTTACATATATAACTAGAGTTTATAAAGTTGTGAGGAGCCAGCAAAAGGAAGTGTCCATTCCTAGAACGCTGACCTGAGCTGGGGTGGGGTATCGGAGACAGAGAGGGAAGCAAATGGTCTGATACAAACTGGTCCCAGGAGATGAAGAGATCTGACTGAGGAGGAGTAAGGAGTAGCAGCACATGCTGGGGTCCTGATTGCCTGTTTTAAAAACAAGGTAGCAAAGCTGGATTCTCCTGGTAACAATAGTCTAGGGCAACCTTACAAAAGCGAGTTCAGGGGAGGGGCTCACCTAGAGAATGCACACTTGAATTAAACCAACATTTCTGAAAGTTGACTACAAATCTTTTTAAAGACAAAAATCTTACTTTAAATTTCCCAATGCTATTCCACGTGACTCTCAAAGAAATCTTTTAATAAAATGAAGAAAGTATCTAAGCACAGACTTTCTTTCACAGGCTGGATTTCCGCAAGGCTAGATTTCTGCATGCAGGATACATAGTGTCTAAAGATTGTTTCCTCCATAGAAACAGAAGAAGCTGATTAGGCTGCCACATGCACAAGGGAGCAAGGAGGGCGAAGGGCACTAAACACAGGCCAGCACATGCAGGGAGGGCAGGGCAGGGCCAGGGAAGAGTTCCGAGTATGCACGCTCACCTTTGGACCACAATTCAGGCCCAGCCTCCAGAGGAAGCCTCCCCTCCCAGAGTTGGCTGGACCAGCCTGGGAGAGATAGGGGCAAGAGTCCCCCTTACCCTTGAACACAGAACAAGGCCAGGCACTAGGTCAGTTACCTATTCTTTTCAAGATCATTCAGGCGAGCAGAAAGATCCTCTAGGCGGTTGATTTGTTTGTGGCACTGGCTACAGTAAAACTCAAAAGCCTCATCAGTGAGGATGCTGTGCAGCTTTGTGGCAAGCGGGTCAGAGCTAGAGAGACGAGAAGCATCAGTTCAGGAGACAGCAAGGACCCGTTGGGTTACCTGTGACTCCACACAAGGCTAAAGTTGGCTGGGCAAAAGCATGTTGTCAGGTAACTGGCTGTAAAAGATTCTGGCTCTTTTAGACTGCTGTGTCGAACCCACCTTCCTCAATGTCATCTCTAGGACCTATGACATGTATCAGTTCGAGCCACAAGGGACTCAGCCACATACCCACTCCTTCCTGGTCAGGTACTCAGAGGAAATGGGGTAGCCCATCAGCTTCACTGTAAAAGGAAAACCCTGAACAAGTAAGTGCCTGGAGACACTGCTTCCTCCTTTGTCAAAAACTCATCAATGGGAGAGCAAAGCAAATCTCCAGGTGGAGTTTAACTCACTGTACTATAACTACTCTAATAACTGCTCTAAAAACCACTAGAATCGCCAGGAATTTTGTCATTTTTAATACCTTTGTTAAAAAGTCAGAATTCTATTGGCTCTTCTGTGATCTAATTTCAATGGGCAGCAACATCCCTGGGTCATAAGGACCCGTGGGCTTTTAACAGCCAATTTGGAAGTTCAATTTAAAGAAAGATTAAAGCGAAATATCAATTATACCATAGAAATCACACTTGAGAGACAGAAAACAGTGAAACACTGGACAAGAGACAGAGACAAACTAAACGAATAGGAAGAGATTACCAAAGCAGGACAGAAACACACACTTAGCAATGCCAAGTCCTTTGGCCTTGATTTGAACACCAACCAAAAGCATTCTTATCAGAAGAGGAGAGCTGCTGAAAGCAAGCTCACCGCTTCACTAACTTGCACTCCCAGGGCCACCTTTGGAGGGTTTCTCACCCGACGATAGTGGGAAGCTTAGGGAACAGCACATGAAGAAAGCAAAGGGGGAGCCAGTCAGGCAGACCCTCCTGGTATTGCCATCCACCCAGGTCCTCTAGGCCTGGGTAACAGTCTGGGCAAAGGAAGAATCTTGCAAGTGCCAGTTTAAAGATACTTGGCCTCTGCTGTCAACAAAGATGGAGAGTTTCAAGAACTGAGTGCAAATGTGAGAGGAGACTGAAGGGTCTCTCCTAGAGGCAGGCACGTTCTCCGATGGGCCGGCCATGAGCGAAAGGCTGCCAAGCCCATGGGACACAGCACACTCAGGCCCCTCATTCGGATACGAGTGCTGGCTTTCTCCCAGGGCCTCCTGTGTAGCCCTATGAGGAAAGAGAGCCAGGGAGTAACCAGCTCTGTAAGCAAGGATCTTGCCCTTCAGATATCACGGTGCTGTTTATTAAAAGCCAGAACTTTTCAGACAGTTTTGGGATGTCAGGTTACTATAACGAAATTAATTCAAAGAATCGATTGTGATAGCAAAGGCTCCCTCAGAGGCTAGTCAAAGGGCACAGATTTTTAGCTATAAGATGAATGAGGTCTGAGGATCTAATGTAAAATATGACTACAGTTGATGACACCGTGTTATATAATTGAAATTTGCTAAGAGAGCAGAACTTAAATGTTTCCACATGTATACATACATATAGCTTCCCTCAAAGCCAGCTACAAACCATAATGAGATCCAACACAGGCTCTGGGCCACATGGCTCAGTTGAGGCCTCCTTATAAATGTAGAGTGACGTGGGAATATAACTGGATAAGAGAAACTTCAGGCAACTTTCACCTAGGTATAAATCTTAAAATTTTGACTATGGTATACTAATTATATTACAGCAAATAGAACAAGTTTTTGTGAACCAAAGGGGAAACTTCCCTACAACTAAACATGGGGAGACTAAGGAGGAGGACACGTGCACCAGTGCAGGGCTGAATTACCTGGAGATGAGAAAAGTGGGGTCTCTGCAGCCATTCTCCCCATTGCAGAGGGTCTCTGGGGACAGCTCCGCTTCACTGCCCTCACCATAGTCCTCAAAATGCTCCTCGCCACCTATGACTGTGACGACAGACTGGCTGTGCAAGTGGGATCTGCAAAAGCAAAACAGAAATGACACTTTCTGACACATGGCCATGGGCAGCCCCAGAACCAAGGATGCAAATGGCGCTTTCCAGTAGAAGTGTGCTGCAACTACGTGTGTGATTTCAAATGTTCCAGTAGCCACCTCATGGGATCAATGTGATACCTGGGCAGTGGAGGAAGGAGGAATCTTTTCAAAATGAGACTGATTCAACTGAATATCAATATAGAGAAAATTATCCTTACCTCACACCACACACAAAAGATCACTTATAGAGAGATAACGGATCTGAATATGAAAGCAAAACAATGGGCTTTAAAGAAAAGCAGAAGTAAACATCATAGCTATGGAGTAAGTTGACTTCTTAAACAACACAGAAGTGCTAACCACAAAAGAAAAACAGATAAACCAGACTATAGTAGAATTAAAAAGATCTGTTCCTCAAAGATAACACTAGGAAACTAAAAGACAACCTACAGAGTAGAAAACAGATACTTGCGATCCACATATGGGACAAAGGACTCATACTTAAAATATATAAAGAACTGCTACAAATCAGTAAGAAAAAGACAGACACCAGGACCAATAGGCCAGGAAAGGCCAGATCCTACTCACATATGTGCCACTTTACACTACAACAGCAGAGCTGAGCAGCAGCCACCAAGACCATACAGCCTATAAGTCAAAAATTTTTTTATTATCTGGCCTTTTACAGAAAAAGTTTATAGACTCCTGCAATAAACAAATGGGCAAAAGACTTGAACAGGCACTTCACAAAACAGGAACCCTAAATGGGCAAGAAAAGCAAGAAAAGGTGCAAAAGGTGCTCATAGTTTTGAGCCACCTGGGAAAAACTAGTAAGAACTATCCCGAACCAATGTTCCACTCCATACCCTCCAGAAAACGAATATGAAAAAGCAGATAATGCCAGGTGCTGCTGAGGATGGGGAGCAACCAGAGGCCACAGCAACTGGCGGGCACGTAACTACTGTAAGCCCTATTCGTAACTGTCTAAATTGCAGCAAGCGCAATAACTTCTAAAGCCAACGTGTGTGCTCCAGATGCCCCATTAAAAGATATGTAATGTTTACAGCAGCTTTATTCATAAAACCAAAACTGTCAACTACCCAAGTGCTCATCGACAGTAAGTTAAAAAGCTACTGCATATTCACACACAGGAATGCTCTAATAATAATGAAAATAAATGATTTACAACTGTGCACAAAACAATGGCTTTCTCAGTAGTAGAGAAAACCACAAGCTGTTCATTCGGGGCCACATGGGCGCCACTAGCACCTCTCTCACCCTGCCCTCTTCCCTCACTGGTCCTCAAATGCATGGGGGCAGCTGGGGCCACCACAGGGGGATGGGACCAGGTCTAGTTATAAGGTTCTAAGATCCTCCCAGAAGACATTTACTGAATATTGTGTCTTGCCTACTTTATAAGAACTGTAACCAAGTTAAAGACAAAGTTAAAGTTTTCTTCTGCACTTTCTAACTCTACAGCCAAAGAAGCTGTGCAGTGCTTATAATCATAG